GAGGTGGAAAATGTAATGTGCTCCAGTTTCTTATGTGCTTCGCATCTGCGCCTCGGTTGACCTTGAATCCCGGCGCGGCGCGTGTCTACCCCACCCGCCTTCGCTAAGGGACGGTGTGCGGCCGGAGATGGGTCCCGCGGGCGGAGGTGAGGCCTGCTGCTTGCAGGACATTTGGCCTGCACTGCACAGTTCAAAGCCTCTCACTTCTGGGGGTAGCGCCAGGGAAGACAATGGCTACAGATCCAGCCATGGGAGGCGTCCAGCCGGAGGCAGGGCCTCCCCGACACTCCCGTCTCCAACCGCCTAAAGGAAGCAGAAGGGGCTGGAAGGCGGCTCAGTGGTAGAGCGCTCGCCTTGAGCTGAAGAGCTGAGGGACAGCGCCCAGGCCCAGAGTTCAGGCCCCACGACAGGAAGAAGGAGGAGGGGAGGGGAGGAGGGGGACGGGGAGGAGGAGGAGGAAAAGAAGAGGAGGAGGAAGAATTAAAATAAGTGGAGGAGGAGGGAGCAGTCATTTTTGTAATCTACTCTGCAGGGGTGACATCCTGGGCTGGGCGGGGTCTCTCGGGGTGGGGTGTCCACTTAGCAAGCCCTGAGTTCAAACCCTAGCATGGCACAAAGCAAGCCGACAGGCCGGGGGCGGCTGGGATGACTCACTTACCCGCGTGGGGGAGGACGGTGTCCGGGTGGCCGCCGAGGAGGTGGGGAGCCGCCTAGGTCCCGCCCGGCCTCGGCTGGTGCACAGCCGCTCCACTGTGAGCCAGGACACGGAAACAGGACAAGACAAACCAAAAACCACAACGCTCGGCCCGGGGTCCGGGAAACAAAGAGAAATTACGTGGAGCCGGCCAGGGGTCATTGGCGCCGAGGATGCTGGCAAACAGGAAGCACCTGTGTGTCCAGCAGGCGGCATGTGCCAGCGACAAGACCCGGCGCCTGACTCCTCCTCCAGTGCTCCTCAGAGCGGGCGGCGGCCCCGTGGCGTGGGCAGGCGGCTGCCCCTCTGTGGAGAACGAACGACCCAAGCAAGACGTCCTACACACCAGCCCCGGCCCCCAGGCCGCCTCCTTCCTGCTTACATGTCTGTGTTACCATCACAAAATTAGCATTGAGCGAGGGAAATGACAGAATCCTGCAGATCCCCCCAAAATACTAAATGCTAAACTCACCACTCACCCCGTGCCCCAATGAAGAAAATGGCTCAATAAACACACAGGCTTTCCTTTATCATGATTGAAAGTATGATTTTTTAAAATAAAAACAAAAATCAGTCATGAACACCAAAGCTTGTGTCTGGAGTGCAGCTCAGCGGTCCAGCGGACAACCCCAGGTTCGATCCCAGAGCTATAAGGAAGCTCTTGTTTAGGACAAGTGTCTGTAAAACCCCTTGGTTATCAGCCCCCCCCCCAGGCAGCCCTGGGGCTCCTTTTAACCAGAGATTGTGTGTCCCAGGAACAGACTAGGCGTTGGCCTGTAAGGGCTTTGTAAAAGCCAAATATAAACCAAAATGTGCTTTGGGGTGACATTTGGGGGTCCTGGGACTCCCTGCCAGCACTAGAAAACCCAGAAAGTTGTCATCTAAAGGACAAACCTGAGTGTGTGCCCCAAACTCCTCCCCCAGCTGGGATGGAGCGTCAGAAAGTGGGGGGGGTGTATGCCTGTGTGTGTGTGTGTGTGTGTGTGTGTGTGTGTGTGTATGTAGTGGGGCAGTGTATGATAGAGTGAGATTCACATCAGTGTGCCTCTTTCCTGAGCCCTGGTCAGTCTGGCTCTGTACTATTTTCTGAAAGTTTTGGGCTCAGAATTCAGGCTGCCTCCAGCCAACAGTGGCCAGCTGTGGGGTGTGGACTCACCCAGATGTAAGTAGATCTATGAAATATTTTAAAGCATGTTTAATACACCTTTAATTTCCTCCCCCACCCACTCTTACTGTGATTCAGTTTTAGCTTATCACTGGGCCGTTTTAATTGAATTTAACTTGGGGTAATTATACACGCACTCAGAGGATTTGAACGCTTTGGGAACCGTAGTAAAAAAAAAAAAAAACCATCAGGCTTAATTTTGAGTTGAGTTTCGTGCTCTTATTTTTTTTAAGTTTTTTTTTAAGCTTTAAAAATAGGATGCGTGTGTGGGGGGGTAATTAACATCTCAAGGTTTCCTGGCTACCTCCTGTAACCAGTGTCTTTTCAGAGGACTGAAAGCTTGACTTCCTACTAATATTCTGAGTGAAAAGTGATTCTGCAGGTCAGTCTGCCGTGGCTCCTGGAGAACTGAATCCTGGTTTCAAAGCCACTGGAAAGGGAGTTGGCATTTTTCTCACCGGCTGGCTACAGTTGGCACAGGGACCAGATGAATGGGGCCCTTTGCTTACTGTTCCCGCTAGCTCCTGTTTCCTGGTTCTGGCAGAGGGCCTTGGAGCCCGGGGCTGGCAGGTTAGGATGACGTGGTGCTGGTTGGCAGGCACTGGACTAGCAGGTAGGACCATGTGACGTGGCTTTCCAAGTCATGCTTCACATTCCTTCTGCGGCCTAAGTCTCACAGTTGTGTTTGGATGCCATCTTTCAAAGCTCGCTCATTCACCATCCTGTGTCGGCTCCGTCCAGGTAGCTATAGTTTGCTTGTGGTCTTGTTTGAGCTGACAGGCAGGGCAGGGGACCTCCTTCCCCAGGCCCCTTGATCAAGAATTTGGCTTTGACTTCCACGGTCTAGGCCAGCTGTCTTCTGCTCTTTCTAGAAGACTTGCACCTCTCAAAGCAACTGGATGGGCGCACTGATGAACAGAGAGAGGACAGGCTGACAGGGCCTCACCTGCACATCACCTTTCCACTTTGAGTAATTCTGCCTTCTAGCGTAGTTGTCTGAGAGTTCAAATAGGTGTAGAGACTCATCTTTCCGTTGTATTTTGTTGCCAAACCTCCTACAGGAGAAGATACCGGCTTTGTGCAATATGTTAATATATTTAACTTGGTGTTTTTTTTTTTTTCTTTTTGTCAGTCGTGGGCGCTGTCCCTGCGCTCTTCAGCTCAAGGCAAGCACTCTACTGCTTGAGCCACAGCACCACTTCCCGTTTCCTAGTAGTTTATTGGAGATAAGAGTCTCATGGACTTTCCTGCCTGGGCGGGCTTTGAACCGTGATCCTCAGATCTCAGCCTCCTGAGTAGCTAGGATTACAGGCGTGAGCCACCAGTGCCTGGCTTAACTTGGTGTTCTTAAATACTTCTCACCTAAGAACACAAAACACACAAAAACTGTATAACCTTCAAATGTCCTTGAAGAACAAGAGCTTGCAAACAGTACGCCTATGTACAATGTTGTTTCCAAAGTGCCCCCCCCCAAAAAAATCACACTGGAGAAAACTGGAGAAAAGAAAAAGCTCAGTGACCTCGGTGTGCTCCGCTTCTGCCGGCTCAGCGCCCGGGGCACACCAGGTACGCTGTGATCCACCCACCAGCAGCAGACCTGACTCTGGCCCTGCTCTCCCAAGCTGAGGGCAGGTTAAGACAAGACTCCGATTCTTGGTTCTCCCTAGCCTGACCTGGGAGACTGCTCCAGGCACAGCCTACGTATGTTGAGCAAGCGCCAAGTGTGAGTTCAACAGGCCTGGAAAAGTATTCTGAAAGGCAAATCATTTACTGTGTGTCTTCGCCCAGTGTCGGACATGGCTGCTTAGAGGACAGCAAGCCTGAACGGAGCCCCCGGGTGAGTAGAAGGCTTGGCCCGTGCGTGGCCCGTGCAAGTGTGCGTGCAGGAAGATGCACTGGCCACACTGGAGGCCTGCGGAAGCGAGGTGGGACCCGGTGTGGTCAGAGTGGAACCCCAGCCCCACTGCTGGGGCTCTGGGCTGGAAAGCATTCTGTTCCCCATCTTGCATGGCTGGCAATGCTCGCTCTGATTTCAAAGGCGCCCGGCCACCAAGGGAAGGCAGGCATTTGGCTGTCCTCTTTCCGGGGGGGCTGGCCACTCGGCAGGAAGCCCCCACTTGCTGTAAAGGGACGAGCAGGCTGAGTGAGAGCATCAAAGCCCCCACAGGATGCAGCCGCGGCCCCGGCCTGTGCACCGGTGGGCAGCGGCGACCCCGCGCCTGCTGCAAGCCAGGCCCAGGTTTAGAATTCCCAGAATCTTGTTTGTTCACCTGCTTCCTACTGGTCTAAGGAACTTCTGAAGGATGAATGAGTAACGCTCTCAGAAGCTCAGTCCGTGCTGGAGGGAAGATGGGGTGGGGGTGGGGTGGCTCTGGGCATAGCTGCCTGCGCTCTGGGCAGCACGGGGTGGCGGACAAGGGCCAGGGTGGCATGTGGCATCGTGTGTTCTGCTGGGACACGGTGGCCTGAGCTGGGATCAGTTCTCAGCTCAGAGCAGGGATGAGGCGCCGCTGCAGCTAACTCAGACACAGACAGGGCCTGGGAGGCAGAGACTGCTGGCAGCCAGGCTGGCTGTGGACCAGGAGTTTCTGGTTGTGAAATCACGTCTCCCTCCCTCCGGTGGTGAGTGGCTCAGCTGACTCCAGCAGCCCTGACCTCCTGCCGCCGACATTCAGCCTCCTACACCCACCTCTGTCTTTCGCCCACCACTATCTGCAGTTTGGCACCCGGCAAGCGCATGAGTCGGGCTTGATTTATCACATGACGTTTCTTATGTCATCAATTTTAATACAAACAGCAAATACTTATTTTATGATAGAGGGTGATGTTCCCTGAAAATCCTTTTGCAAATGAACACAGGAAGAGTCAAGTCTTTTTCTCAATGGTTTCCCTCATACGTGTGCGTCCAAGTATGGAGTAGGCATATTTAAACTATTTGAGTAAATTCTTAACTCCTGCCTTTATTGCTCTTGCCACCAGGTGGCTATGGAGAAATTAAGCAGGACAAATGTGACGGAGGTGCCAATGACTCGTGATCACACTGGCCTTCTGCCTGCGCGGTGAACTCTCACAATGGGGACGGAGCAGGCCTCACGTTCATTCCCTTTGGGCAAGGCCAGAGTAGGGTAGGCAACGCTGGGCCGGACGGACCATTCTACCAGTGGTTTTGTTTCTGTAAATATTGACAATGTTAAGCTCGGCAGATCTTGCTGAACCAAGACCTTGGGAGCCTATTCCACCTCCAGCCTGAGCCCTGGGTATCCACGTGGTTCCTGGCCAGCCTGGATTCAGGACAAAGGTTCCACTTTGGGCTCTTGAATTCCTGTGCAGAGAAGACACTCCAGGGTTAGCCCAGCGGCAGAACCCCGCCCATCCTGGAATGTCTGTGACCGTCACTGCGGAGATCTTAATCCACTTGGAAGGGGCTTTAGGGACTCAACCTAAATTCCTCCAAAGCCCAGGCTGGTACTTCTGCATGGGGGTTTTGGGGAATCCATCCATGGAGGCTGGCATATGCTCTCAGACCCATTTCAGTTGGAAGTGTCTGTGAGAGTCAGGACAGCAGCTAGCGGCACACCCTATCCTTTCTGGGTTGTCAAGCAAAGGGAAGGACCATTCAGCCCCAGCGACATGACAGCCTACCGGTTCCTGGCCATGTCACGTGCCTGCCCAGCCTCTCATGTGCTGGGCTTTGGTTCTCTAATTTATTCACTTTGACAAGTAACCTCTTGGTTGTACACCACTTTACTCCCAACTTGCCTGTCTGATTCAAAGTGAACACGAGTGCCTTAATCCTCTAATGGGAATTAATTGCTTGTTTCAGTGCTTAACTCTGATCTTTCTTGATCTCCACAGGGACAGGTTGCTTCCTGAAGGACCCGTGTGTGTCACTCAAAACACAATCCGAAAAGGTAACAATGGTTTTCATATGGCAGTAACCAGCCAGGCCAAACTCTATCTATTGCATAAATAGTGTTCACTAACTTATTTTATAACATAAAAGATGCACCTGCTAAACTTTCTTATAATAAGTTAGTTTCTTTCACCCTTATAGAAATGAGCTATCCCATTGTACAGAAAATTGCTAACTTACAACAGAGTTGGAATGAACCCTTCATGCCACTTAGGAATTCACGTTGGGCCACAGAAAGGGTACTTGGCCAGCAGTCTGCAGAAATCAGGTCATGAGGAAATACGATGAACCCAGGGAGTTTTTTGTTTTTGTTCTGTTTTGTTTTTGTCGGCCGTGGAACTTGAACTCAGTGCCTGGGCATCGTCTTTTGCTCAAGGCTAGCAGTCTAACCACTTTGAGCCACAGTGCCACTTCCGGTTTCCTGGTGGTCAGCTGAGAGTCTCACAGACTTTCCTGCCCAGGCTGGCTGTGAACTGCAATCCTCAGATCTCAGGCTCCTGAGTAGCTAGGATGACAGGCAAGAGCCACCAGTGCCCAGCTGAACCCAGTTTTGAGAAGAAGAAAACAGAAGCTCTAAGGCTTCAACACGATTCCTGCAGATCTACAGCTGCAGCGTGGAAGAGGCAGGACTGGGTCCCAGCGTCTCATTCTACCCCAGTGCACGCGGGCTGTCTGCCCACCTGCACGGCTATGTCTGGTCCAGCAGAACACACATCCTTCCGTGTGTGGCTGTCTGGAGACATCATGTTAGTACAGTTAAATAGCAGTCTCTGTTCTGCTCTGGAAAAGCCCAAATGGCTCTCCAATAGCTTTTCCATCCCTTCCTTATTAATCCAAACTTGCATTTTTATCCAAGACTCTGATCACAGCTGTGTCGTAGAAATATCTATTTATCTATCTATCTATCTACATATATATGTACATACATATATATATATATATATATATATATATATATATATACACATACATACAGAGGAGAGAGAGAGAGAGAGAGAGAGTGCTAGTGGCTCATGGCTACAATCATAGACTCTCAGGAGGTAGAACAGGAGCTTAACAAGCTCATGGCCCTGAATCCAAATCCTGTACTGCCCCCAATATATATAGATAGAGAGATAGAGAGGTAAATAGATAGATGACAGCTATGTTATGGTTACAATCAAAATTAAGATATCATTCAGTCTTTTTATTTTTTGGTAGCACTGGTTGAAGTCAGGTTTTCACTGGCTAGGCAGGTGCTTGCTCAGCCACATTTCTGGTCTTTTTTATACTGGGTATTTCTAAGATAGGGTTTTGTTTCCTGCCCAGAAGAATGCCTGAGTTTCGACCCATTTGTGTCAGACTTCCTAATGTATCTAGGACAAGATGTGTTTGTCCGTACATCTAGCCCTTGGTTGAGAAGGGCTATTGTAAACTTTTCTGCTCAGACTATTCTTAAACTGTGGTCCTCCCAATCTTGTCTTGGGTAGCTAAGATTATAAGCATGAGCCCTACCAGTTCCTGGCTCACCTTATTTTTTGAGTTGATTATTTGAAAAACAACCAAATCAGTTTTGCTTTTTATAAAGCAAAAGAAAACAGATGTCTGGAACAATTAAGCTTGAAATTACAGAGGAAACATTAGAATTTGGGAAATAAAAAGGATTATAGCTGGGTGCTGGCAATCTTTAGCTACTCAGGAGGCTGAGATCTGAGGATCATAGCTTGGGGTCAACCAGGAAAGTCTGTGAGACTCCAATAAACCACTCAAAGGATGGAAGTGAAGCTGTGATGTATGTGACAGAATGCTAGCCTTGAGCACAAATGCTGAGAGACAGTGCCCATCCCTGAGTTAGAGCCTGAGGGTAAGCATACACACACACACACACACACACACACACATGCTGCACATACACACCACATACACACACACGATTATAGGAGAATAGTATAAACAAGCGCGCGCGTGCGCGCGCGCGCGCATGTGTGTATGTGTGTGTGTGTGTGTGTGTGTGTGTGTGAGAGAGACAATGGCTCACCTAAATGAAAAGGCAGATATTACACAACTTAGCATAGCCAAATCATGAAATAAAAAGATCAAAAAGTACTGTGGGGAGGGGAAGACTAGAGGACGGCTTCCCTGGTGAATTCTCCCAAAGACTGAACAAGTGAACACCAGTCTTCCTGAAATCATTCTAAAGAAATGGAAGGGAATAAACACTCTCATCATACTCATTCATATCAAAGACAGACAAGGACCTAAAGACCACCACAGCCTACATCCCTGAGGAGGACTGACATGCAGATCCACGGTATGACCAGTCTTGATGATGAGGTATTTATTCCTGGAGAGCAAGGATGGGTCAACAGACCAAAATCAGTTTTACAATGCAGCACACCACATTAACAGAATGGTGAGAAAGCACACAACCATCCCAACTGATATAGAAAAAAAGCACTTAAGAAAATTCAACACTGTCTCATGATAAAAAAAAATACACTCAGACAAGGATTAAAAGGAAATTACTTCAACATAGCAAAGAACTCATTAATCATCAGGGAAATGCAAATCAAAACTACAGCGAGCTACGGCCTCAGGATGGCCGTGTGCCGCAACGGCAGCTACACACGCCTGAGCTGGCAAGGATGGCAGGGATCAAACCCCTGGGCACTGCTACAGAGAACGCAACGTACGCAGCGGCCAGAGGGAACCAAGAGGAACAAAATCAGTTTCCAGATTATCTAGCAATCCTACCTGTGGGTATGAACACCGAAGGAACTGAGAGCAGGATCTCACCTCTGTGTGCCCCCTGGTCACTGCAACCCTGCTCACACTGCTAAGAACGGGAAGCCACCAACCATCGATCAGATTGGTGCAAGCTGGGGGTGCTCAGTGGTATATGACCAAGGCCATGGTGGTCCAAAGCTGCAGTGCTGCCTTGGGACCCTGCCTTCTTCGGAGACCTTCCTTCCTTCTTCCCTCCCTCCTTCCCTCCTGACCTCTCCCTCTCTCTCCCTTCCTTCACGGGAGATAGAACCTTTGTGCTATATACATTTGTGAGCACAGGGCATCTCGCAGCAGTCTTAACTTCATACTTGCCCACTAGCACCTCTTTGCATCAGGCAGGTTCTCAGCCCTGGTAGCACCTTTTTCTTCTTCCTCTTCCGCCTCCTCCTTCTCCTCCTCCTCATCATATTCATCACCTCCAATTTAAGAACAGCACCCCCCATTCTGTCCTGGCTCTGCAATTTGCTTTTAGTGTCGGTTTTTTGAAACAAGGTCCCACTATGAGAACTCATATGATCCTCCTGCCTCAGCCTCCTGAGCACTAAGATTGCAGGTATGCTCCACCAGGCCTGGCTTATTCTATGCTTTCAAGAACGCTTTTAGCCACTCTTCTCTGTCTCCCATAATACTTTACTTCAGAAATCGGGGACAGGTCACAGAGCAGGGTGTCCAGGCACATGGCCTACACAGTGCCCTGTGCTGCCTTAAACCCCTTTCCTTCCAAATAGTTGCTGCCACCTCTTCCCCTTTCTCTCTGTCCCAGTGGCAGGAAAAGCGAGTCCTTCTCTTCCCCACCCTCCTCCCGGCGGTTTCAGTCATGGCCTTGGTATTGGGAGCACAGGCCCAGCCGAGGGTGTCTGTGAGCAGCATCCTGGAAATGGGAATGGAAATAAACTTTGCAAACCCAGACTGGCTGGAGTCACCCCAACCTGTCCCCAGGGACAGCCATCCTGAGCTCCCTGCCCCCCTTCCCCACTTCAGTGTTCAGAAGCCTGTCGGTTTTTAGGAAGAAAGGCCAGACGTGAGAAGGAAATGTCTTCAAGAAACTGATCCCAACACAAAGAAGACGGGAAGTTAGAAGAAAGGGCTAATAAAGAGAAGAAACTTTAAAGACAGGACAGCTGTGGAAGAACAATAGGCTAAAAACAGTGGGAAAGATGCTAGAAGGGCAAAGGAATGTTTTAAATGCACAGAATTGAAAGATGAAGGCAACAGAGAGAACAGGAATGAAGGAGAGAAGAGCCTGGGGGGAGGGAGAGGGGCTCCAGATGTCCACCACCAAACGGCAGATCCACAAAGAGGAGCGGAGGGTGCCAGTGGCTGTAAGCCTAGCTATTCAGGAGGCTGAGATCTAAGGTTCGCAGTCCAAAGCCAGCCTAGGCAGGAAAAGTCCCAGAAGCTCTTATCTCCAAATAACCTCCAAAAAGCTGGGAATGGCACTGTAGCTCAAAGAGGTAGAGCAATAACCTTGAACACTAAAGCTCAGCGACAGTGCCCAGGCCTGACCCTCCCCCCCCCCAAAAAAAAAGAGGGAGGGAGGAAGGAAGAAATTCCAGAACCTGTGATCAAGAGTTTCTGGTTGAAATTCCAGCAACATGAATAAAAAAGACAAACCACGTGAGGTCATATCATCGGAAGCTTTCAGAACAGGTGGTAGGAATGAAGGGCTGAGGGACAAGCACCTGCTGAGACAAAGCCCAGGCCACAGCAGAGCTGGGAAAGTGCAAGACAGGGAAAGCATGCCGGGATGCTAACACGCACCCCAGACCCTTCACGTGCCACAGTTAACCTGGGCAGGAGAGCAGTGCCTGCAAATGGGGGAGAGGGGCCCCAAAAGGGGATGAGCTCCAGCCTAGACAGCTTGAGGACAGCAAGCGTGGCTCAGAGCCACGGGTTCCAATTGCACCCAGAAAAGGCAAGGCAAGGCTACTGCTACACAAACTGCCCAAGCAAAACAAACGTGGCCCAACTGTATTCCAAGAAAAACGTACCAATGCTGAGAGAGGGAACACAAGCAGTGCCTCCGTCAGCTGAGAGTGGTTTTACATAGCGCTACTGCTGACACTGAACGTTTGTCCAGAAATGGGCAAGTGTGGCCAGGACAGAAGGAAGGTCCTATGCAGGGTGACTGCTCTGGAGGGCCGTTCCAAGTGGGACCTCACTCTGCCATGGCTGTGGTCCTCGGAGGAAGCTGCTACGATCCCTTCTTCATTTTGCAGCTGATGAAGCTGTGGCACAGAGAGGTGAAATGATTTGCTTGAAGTCACACTGTTGATATCAAGTGTTAAAGCCAAGATTTCAACAGGAAAATTAGTTCTGATGTCTCCTTTAAACCATTACTCCCATGTGTTTTTGAAACAGGAAGGCAAGACATAATTGTAAAAAGCTGGATGTTGGTGGCTCACGCCTATTGTTTTAGGCACTCAGGAGGCTGAGATCTGAGGATCATGGTTCAAAGCCAGCCTGGGCAGGAAAGTCCATGAGACTCTTATCTCCAGTTGATCACCAGAAATCCAGATGTAGTGCTATGGCTTGAAGTGGTAAAGCATTAGCTTTGAGCAAAAGAGCTCAAGGACCAAGCCCAGGCACTGAATTCAAACCCCACAACCTACCAAAAAATAATATATAAATAAAACTCAAAAAATAGCAGTCAAATGATAGAAGTTGCATTTCCACGAGCAATGTGGAAACATCAAGTGTACCTGTCAAAAGGCTTTTAAGGTTGCCTCTGGGGTGTGGAAAGGTTTCATTTCTCCTGTAAAGCGATTTACAAGCTTCCTCAGAAGCAAGTTTTATCCTCCTGAGCCTCTGTGCTGGGACGGACTCAGGGCCTGGCTTTGCTAGGCCAGCAGCCTGCCTCTGAGCCAGTGCCCAGAGCATGCCCACAGTCCCAGCTCCAAAGCCTGCTCCAGCAAGTATGCCTTGGGCTGGCACCAAACAGCACTGGGCAGAGGCCCATGGAAGCCAGGCAGGGCTGGGCGAAGCCCCTCTTTTCAGTGTTCCCGTGCATTATTGAATCACTCGTCATTATCGCGTTGTTATGTAACGGTCTGTGGCAGTAAGTATTTACTTCCACTAGAAGTGGTTTTCATAAGGTCGCTGCTGGGGTCACGGTGAACAGCCCTGAAGCATCATCACCACAAGACCGCAAGAGCAAAGGCCGGACTCGGCAGGAGGCTATCCTTAAAGTTTGCTCAGCAACAGTCAGGACCAGAATAAAAATGTAGTGCTGAAACCTGGATCGTCTCTTGTAGACAGGTGATTCTTTCCTCTGTGGACTTGCTTACTCCTAATTTTTCCTCATTTTTCTTAGTATATATATCAACTGTTCAACGGGGGTGGGGGTGGTGTGATAGTTCCATGTGTGAATTTTTTGTTTTTTGTTTTTTTTTTTATCAGTCGTGGAACTTGAACTCTGGGCCTGGGCGCTGTCCCTGAGCTCTTCAACTCAAGGCAAGTGCTCTACCACTTGAGCCATAGCACCACTTCTAGTTTTCTGCTGGTTAATTGGAGAAAAGAGTCTGTTCACAGACTTTCAGCCCGGGCTGGCTTTGAACCTCGATTCTCAGATCTCAATCTCCTGAGTAGCTACGATTACAGGCGTGAGCCACTGGCAACCTGCCATGTTTGTATACTTGGATCCATTTACCCCTCGATTACTCTTTCTTATCACACCTTTTAAGATCTTTCCCACAGTAGTTTGTGAAATGAGTTTCATTATGTCCTTTGTGTTTTGGTGTTGGGTCTGTGTCCCCCAGGCTGGTCTGGAACTCACTGGGATCTTTTTGGCCAAGTATACAGTACACTTCAAGGATGTTTGCCCCTCCCCCTTTCTTTTGCTTCTCCCACTATATTTGTGGTGCAGATTTCCAAGACCTTTTTAAAAAGTTGAACACAAACTGCCTAAGAAATTGGACTGTCTGCATGGTGAGTTCCCAGGCCAGGCCACCCCTCCTGACAACTGCGTTCTCTGAGCACCTGCTCCCCAGCAGGTGGCCAGCAGGGTGGCTGGCATCTCCCTCGCCCTCCGGGCCACCACGAAGGGTCAGGTGGGATGCAGGAGCAGCAGCTTGCCCCGGCTGCTGTGTCTTGGGAAGCAAGGTGTCCCCTGGCCTTCAAGCTGCTTCCCCAGGATAGGTCGTTTCCGGATATAAAGAAGAGAGGGTGGCATGATGTGCCAGGTAAGGCCTCAGTGGGAAGTTGAGCAAGGACATCCTGTCCCTTAAAAACTCCAGGCAGGGCTTTACTAAAGGGCTGGCCTCTGAAGTGAGTTCTAGGAAGCACTCAGAGCTTGGCATGGAGGCCGGGGCTCTGGCCTGCTCCCTGTTCCTGCCCAAGCAGACAGATGTCACGTCACTGTGAGCATGGCTCTGCAGGCCTCAGCCACAAGTAGAAGGTGAGGCGCAGTGATGCACCTGCAGCGCCAGCTGCCCAGAAGCTCAAGGCCAGCCAGGGCAACGCGAGTCCTGTCTCAAAGCACCATCTGCAAATACATGAAAGATTTCTATTTCTTTTGTGCTGGGGCTGAGCCCAGGAGCTTGCCATGCTAGGTAAGTGCTCTCCTCTGGCTGCTCTCCCAGCTCAGGCTTTCATAGTCACGGGGACTTGTCCCTTTCTCCAGACTCCACATTTGGTAAACTTCAGGTCTGGCCTACTGCCCCCAAGCCAATGATAGCTTGTGTGCATTTCTGTGGTGTCCACAAATCAATCTGGCTGGGGTTGGTCCAGTCTGGTCGAGGCTGGTCCAGTCTGGATGGGGCTGGTCCAGTCTGGATGGGCTGTTCTAGTCTGGATGGGGCTGGTCCAGTCTGGTTGGGGCTGGTAGAGTCTGAATGGGGCTGGGCTGGTCTAATCGGAGCTGGACCGGTCTGGATGGGGCTGGACCGCTCTGGATGGGGCTGTTCTAGTCTGGAAGGGGCTGGACCACTCTGGATGGGGCTGGTCCAGTCTGATGGTTGTCCTGCTCCAGTCCACAGTCCGTAGCGAGAGTAGAAGCTGAGGCGCAGCCCCGACGCCTAGCGGAAGAGGCTCGGCCTTCCCGGGCCGCGCCCGCTTACTCTCTCCTCCACCCCGCAGGCGGATGGCCCACGTCTTCGTGTACGGGACCCTGAAGCGAGGCCAGCCCAACCACAAAGTCATGCTGGACGGGGCGCACGGCTCGGCGGTGTTCCGGGGCCGCGGCCGCACAGCCGAGCCCTACCCCTTGGTGATCGCGGGCGAGTACAACATCCCCAGGCTGCTCCAGCTGCCGGGCCGGGGCCGCTGCGTGGCGGGTGAGATCTACGAGGTGGACGAGAAGATGCTGCGCTTCCTGGACGACTTCGAGGGCTGCCCGGACCTGTACCAGCGCACGGCGGTGCGTGTGCGCGTGCTCGAGTGGGAGGGCGGCGCGCGCCCCGGCGACAGCCTGCGGTGCTTCGTGTACAGCACGGCCACCTACGCGCCCGAGTGGGTCCACCTGCCCTACCACGACAGCTACGATTCCGAGGGCGCCCACGGGCTGCGCTACCATCCCCGGGAGGCCCGGTGAGCAGGGCCAGCCGAGCCCAGGGCCCCTCCATGGGAGAGGGGAGGGGGCGGCAGACTGTGCACTGGCCTCCAGCACCCCAAACATCTGATAGTAACCAAGCAGACTGTGCGCTGGCCTCCAGCACCCAGGACATCTGATGATAACCAAGCAGACTGTGCGCTGGCCTCCAGCACACAGGACATCTGATGATAACCAAGCAGACTGTGCGCTGGCCTCCAGCACCCAGGACATCTGATGATAATCAAGCAGACTGTGCTCTGGACTCCAGCACCCAGGACATCTGATGATAACCAAGCAGACTGTGCGCTGACCTGCAGCACCCAGGACATCTGATGATAACCAAGCAGACTGTGCACTGGCCTCCAGCACCCCGGACATCTGATGATAACCAAGCAGACTGTGCTCTGGCCTCCAGCACCCAGGACATCGACTGTGCTCTGGACTCCAGCACCCAGGACATCTGATGATAACCAAGCAGACTGTGCGCTGACCTGCAGCACCCAGGACATCTGATGATAACCAACCAGACTGTGCTCTGGCCTCCAGCACCCCGAACATCTGATGATAACCAAGCAGACTGCGCTGGCCTGCAGCACCCCGAACATCTGATGATAACCAAGCAGACTGTGCGCTGGCCTCGAGCACCCCAAACATCTGATAATAACCAAGCAGACTGTGTTCTGACCTGCAGCACCCCGAACATCTGATGATAACCAAGCAGACTGTGCTCTGGCCTCGAGCACCCAGGACATCTGATGGTAACTAAGCACTGGCTTTAGATGGCTCGGCATTTAAAAGGACCAAGGAGCCCCACAGGCCAGCCCCGCCGCCTCCAGGTCACACATAGGAACTAGTCAGGACAGCCATCTACAGTTCAACTGGGCTTTCATAGGAGGTGAGACGTAAAAGGGCCATGCTATGTTTGGCACTTGTTTTGGTACCCTTACTTTTGATAGACGGTCCTCTTCGTTGTAATCTAGCAAAATCCTGGCCACCCACTCACGTCACAGCTGAGCTCCAGGACTCTCGGATGCACCGAGCCACTCCCCAGCAGCCGGGCCCATCGCCTGGGGGTGGGCCTTTCAGAGAAGAACCAACACGTTAGTAATTTGTTCCTCAGGCCCTGACAGAAGGTTGCACTTCCAAATACAAACAGCACTTAAAATAATGTTAGCAAGGCACGAAGTACCAATTACTACCCACCTCCATCTGATCATCTGTCAGCGTAGATTCAAGTCAGTGCACGACTCTGCTTCCAAGCGAGTAGAAAATGGATTCCAAGAATTTCAGAGGCAAATCGAAGTGCAGCTGCTGGTCCTTAGTAACCTCATTCTCCATTGGGAGAGCTCGCTTACGCTTCAACTTAATGGTAGACTGTGGTCGCTAACTGCATCTGGCACAAAAATATGAGCATTATTTTTAGCCTCTTTTTCTTAATTGGAAATGTGCTTCACACACAGAGAAAAGCAAGGACGAGCATCAGCTGATGTGCCCCACCCCGTGGCAATGGGGAAGGCACCCAGGAACACGCTTGTCCGCAGAGCAGTGCAGGCCCTGGAGCGACCCCTGGAGGGGTCAGCCATCCGGTGTGAGCCTGCAGTCTTCTAGACAAAGGGCTCTAATGAGCTTCACCTGTGCTGCCTTGTCCTTAGGAAGGTCTGGACCACCAGGCCCAGGAGCTAGTTCTCAATCGTGTAGAAAGGAAGGTGGCCAGATTATAAAATGGCAAATGTTAATTTAACACAATTCAGAAGCACAGAACTAGAATTTAGATATAAAGAATCAATGAGATATTAGGAGTTATAGTCAATTGGCACAGCTTGTCGCCTATGTGTATACTGTCTTCATTCAAAAAAAAAGGGCAGACTAATATTTAGACAAATGCTTGGTTTTATTGATTGAATTTTGACACTAGGAAATCTCACAGCAGAAGTACAAATCGTATGTACAAGTATTTATATCAATGAAAATTTCCATTGGTGATTTTTTTGGCAGAATGTTGCTACTTCTGAGGAATAAATATGCTGATGTAAAACCTGCTGTCCAGGAGTATTCCTGTAAAATGCCTGAAAGTTGCGTGTGAGAGTAACACAAATGGCTAATTAGGCGGTGACTGCAAGACTATAAATACTTCATTCCAGCTCCACGAGCAGATCTCCTTCTCCAACTGTGTCTCCAGTTTTACAGTGCACCAGCTTCACCTTGAATTGAAGAAACGGGGCAGAGTGAGTATCGGTGACTGCAGCAGGAAGGGGCAGTTCCCTAACCCCTGTCAGGAAGCACATGGGCAGGCCTGGTAGCTCAGGCTCAGCCAGCTGAGCTGCTCTGCTCATCCAGGGAAACCCGGATGAAGGAAGGCTGTCCGCCTGTCCCTCTCTGTCTCTTCTTGTCAGCCCACCGAAACTTCTCTGGGAATCTCAGCTATGGTTTGCTGGCTGGACTTTGGCAGTAGACTCCCAGGGCCTGGCCAGTCTTAAAGTCCATGCTGGAGACTTCCATATTCCCAGATACCCACTCTGCTATGGGTTATGGTTATAGAAGGGTTTTAAGAATTGATAATACAAGATCTGGGGTAGGGATTCAAAGGAGAACCTGCGTAGCCCGCTCATCTCTCTCCTAAGAGAAATAAGACATTCAGGAAGCCCGTAGCTCTGTGGCTGCCCTGAGGGGCATGTAGAGTAGATGTGGACCCATGGACCCATGTCTTCTCATTCTAATATATGTTTAATTTAAAACAGGTAGGGAGGGAGCCAGAGCACATTAAGAGGCAATTATCTACCTCCTTAAAAGGTGGTTGCTTGGGTGTGAGAATGAGCAGTGGGTTCTAACCAAGTGGCAAACACTCAAAATGGCAGCAACAGCTGGGGTAGTGCTGGCCTGCATGCCTGCCCCTCTACCACGAGCAGCCTAAACAGACCCTGAAGTTTTTTAGGAACAACGGGTTCTTCAGAGGCCTCGCTCAGCAGTGCTCTCTGGGGTAAAGTACTGCTGCTTCATTATCTGGACGCCATGATGCTGATCTTTTACACAATGGTACAACTCTAAAGGGCAGAGGGTGTGCTTCCACTGCAGACTGATTCTCTAAGTAACCCTCAGGAGCCCCGAGCAAGGCCAGAGCCCACTGAGCTTTATTGGGTTAGACTCTAGAATGCCTGGGAGTAGGGTGGGTGAGGAGATAGATGGGAGGGACTCCAGCTAGCAGTTGAGCCTAAGACAGAGCTCATGGGCACCCAGCGGCAACTCTCAGCTCTCGGCGGCTGGGGAGAGGGGGCAGCTCTGTTGCTCTGCGAGCGCTCGGCAATGAGAACACAGGACACCCAGTCTGGGCTTGCTCCTTGCACCAGCACCTCCACCTAGCCACAGCGGCCTGGGCTAGAAGGCGGCCCTCATTCTTGGTCCCCACAACTATTCTTGTCATGGACAGATAGGTTCTGATACTAGTGCTAGGTAAATGTGAAATAATCACTAAGAACAAACACAGGTTTTCTTGTCTATTTTAAAAATCAACTCAAGAAAGGGTTCCTAAAACACTAAACCGTGCCCTTCTATTCCGTCAAGACCATGGACCATGGCCCGGCCGTCCTGCCGCTCTGCGCACAGGGGCCTCTGCTCTCTCTAGGGAGAACACCGGGTAGCCCCATGGCCTTCCTCTCGGAACCAGTTTCATTGCACTTGTGGGATGATAAACTACCAGATGGACAGACGCTGGGCTTCTGATGCAAGCTTAGTTGTAAAGTAACATCTCTCTCTGCAGCTGGGTCCCCAGGTGTGGCCCAGTGCAGGTCACTGCCACCCCTGCCGCTGCTCCGCTGGGGCACCCTCCATTCCACAGACATGGCCACACGCAGACGTCTTTTGGAAAAGGGCCATTTTCCTACTAACGGTCTCAGTCACAGGAAGACAACGAAGTGATTGCTTTACAAAACAAAACAAAACAAAAAACAAACAAACAAAAAAACCCTATGCCAGCTGCCAGTGATTCATGCCTGTATTCCTAGCTATTCAAGAGGCTGACATCTGAGGATCATGGTTGGAAGCCAGCCTGGGCAGGAAAGTCCATGAGACTCTTATCTTCAATTAACTATGAAAAAGCTAGAAATAGAGCTGTAGCTCAACTGGTAGAGTGCTAGCCTAGCCTTGAGCACAGCTCAGGAACAGGCCATCATCCAATCCCTGGGATAAGAAAGAGACAAGAGAAGAAAGGTGGGGGGTAGGGAGGGAAGAGACCTTCAAGAAGTTTCACTCAAAAAACTTCAGCACTGACACGTTTTTCTCTTTTCTCTGAGTCACTAAGCTCTCTGTGCATGCATGGGGTTTGCAGACTCTTCATCTACATAGACTGTACTCTTTGTGGGGAAATTATCTTGACTAGTTACATTTTTGCAATCTGTGAAACTGTCTCCTGCAGTGTCATCTAAGTATCAGATAACTAACTGCCTCCAAGACAGATGTAAACATTAAAAATTAAAGATCCCTTAATTTGAAAGACATCAAGGTGAAGAACAATTGTCCTTTGGCTACCTGAATATGCACACAGACGAACCAAGGCAGCGGGAAAGCGCTCCCGTGTGTTACTTTCTCCCCAGGGGAAAGAGAGGTTGTAGACATCACCTCTCCGGTCCTTTCCAGAACTGTGCATGACTCCAAAGTGGAAGTTCTGCCTCCATCACCAGGCCCGGGTAAGCGGGTGGGAACTCAGGGACATACCTTGCCAGTTTTCCCAGCTGTCATACTGTTCTGCATTTTCATAGCTTCAATCACACAAATTTCCTGACCTTCCGCTACCTGGAAAACAAATTTAAAATGGAATGAGATGTTTAAAGCATTCTAATTTTGCAATAATACCTACAGTGAAGCCATTATAGGGTACTTTGTCGCACATGCTGAAATGTTCATCAAAACAGCAACAACCTCTAACGCTTCCCATCCCAGCTGTATCCTTCAGGGACAGCAGAGAAAGGCTACTCCCCCTCATCCTCAAGTCCTCATTCATTAGGAAATGACCAGATACTAGAGGTTTGGTGATGCTGTTTGTGGGGCTGCCCTGGGGACGGTACTCTCACCGAGCTGCTGGCAATCAGAATGTTTCCACTTACCTGCTATGCCTGGAATAAACAAGTTTCTGCAGTGGCTTGAACTGGGGATGGGTGAATGGGTGCTGTTGGATAGTTTCTTTTGCCGGGCACTGGTGGCTCACGCCTGTAATCCTAGCTACTCAGGAGGCTGAGATCTGAGGACTGCAGTTCAGAGCCAGCCTAGGCAGGAAAGTCCATGAGACTCTTATCTCCAATAAACCACCAGGAAACCGGAAGTGGCGCTGTGGCTCATAAGCCCCACACCATGAGAAAAAAACAAATACACAAAGTTTCTTTCAAGGGTGCTAAAAATGTTCTAAGATTAATTGTGTTGGTTGCAGACCTCTAGATAGATGAAAAACACTAGACTGTGCACTAAAGGGGTGAATTACACTATGGGAATCTCATCTCAGGAAAGGGTTTTTTAAGGCATGTTTCAGATTATATTTCTGGGGAGCTGGGAATAGCAGCTTACTCAGTCTGAGCAGGAGGCCCACTGGCCCTCCCTCTGCGGGATGCACACATACTGCATTTGGTCCTGCACAGAGAGCCGCAGGTGCTCACTCAAGCCCAGCTTCTAGCATCTGCGTCTTACCATGAGGAAAATCCAGGCAGAGCTGGGTACAAACCCACGGGGGTGAAAGTGGAGGCCTCCATCCAGAAATCAGCTGTGACTAAAAGCCACTTTTTTCTTCAGTTTTCTCTGGCCTTGATGGGTAAGTACTGAGGAGCTAGGCCAGGTTTTTCTCTTAGCTCTTTGGCACAGGACCTCTGGCTCTTTGGAACGGTCGGATGAGACTCCGTGGGGCCTGGTGGGCATGCTGGACGGGCTCCTGGACAGTCACATTTCAGTGCCTGTGCTGGCTGGTACCACAGAAGCGCCTGGAGATTGTTCCTTCCTGCAATCCCCAAATGATCTCCAAGTCCCTCTCGCGGCCCCCTGGGAGGCGCAAGCTGTCTTGCTGGCAGTGCCGCTTGCCTGGGCCCGAGCGTTCTTTCCTCTGCTGTCCAGGTGGGGGGCTGCATTCTCCTGGCACAAGAATATAGGAAGAGAGGGGATGCCAAGGCTCTGGGGCTGGCACTGAAGAGAAAGACTGAGAGGGGCTCTGAACACAGTGCTCACTGCCGCTTTTTGATTCGTTTCACCTGGCATCGACATTCCGTGCACAGTGACTTGCAAGGGTTGTTCTTCAAAACGTGGAGGGCCAGAGATGGTAGTGCCAAGATGACACTGAGGCTCGAGTCCAAGGTGTTAGAACAGTTACTCCACACGTAATCGTTCCAGAGGCTTGCTTTCTCTCTTCAAAGGCAATCGGTAGCCAAGAAAGCCAGGAGAAGGACAGGTCTGCTGAGGTGCCCCTCCCATTCAGCTAGCTCCCATAGGAAAGCCCCGGGGGTCCTGCCCAGGGCCTGCACAGAGCTAAGAGCCTGCCCAGCAGCCAGACCCAAATAACTTCAACCCACGGACGAGGTGCCCAGACAACAGAGCAGGATGACTCCCTGCAGACAGATCTGAAGCTCAACAGAGTGCTATGGGAAGTCTATCCAAAAAGTAGGGTCTGTGCTCTGGTCACTAATCCCTCCACAGATAGGCAGACTTGTGAGCTGGCCTTCTACCTACCGACCTGGACTATCTTCCTCTGTTGGCATCTGAGGGTGCAGGGCTCTCTCCAGCCTTTATAGGTGGGCACAGCCTTGTCCCTCTGCCAGCAGCTGTGTCCCCCCATTCCCTCTCTCCCATCAGAATGGACCACTGCTTCCTTAAGCGAATCTTCTGCAGCCCAGGGCCATACCAGAGGACAACGGTCAACCCAACAAAGATGTGTACAGAGAGCATGGTGAAGAACAGTGGACTGGGCCACCTCTGCCCTCCGGGACCTGCTGGGCCTGAGAGCAGTAGAAATGGAGAACGCACCTGGGGGGCTCTGCCATCGCTGCTGACGGATGATGATTCTCCCTGGCTGGCTCTGAGTGCGTGTAACATGGAGAGTTGCAAGAAGGTGACTATGAGCACTAGGTCCCCAAACCTCCGACTTAGCCTGGCCCAATCAGAAGTACTAGTGTTCCAATAGTCGGCTTCTGACTGGGTCACTGGTAATTTGATGAAAAGGATGTCAAAGGAAAAGCATCCTGACTGGAAGAGATCCTGTCTTTCTGCCTGACTGGTAGTTTGTACCAACTTGCAGAGTTAGATCCTGGGCCTTCTCCTTAGTTCTTTCCCCTAATTTTGCTAGTGTGCACTGTCCCTGAGCTTTTTTGCTCAAGACTAATACTTTACCTTCCACTGCTGGCTTTTTGGTGATTAACTGGAGAAAAGAGTCTTGTGAACTTTCCTCCCAGGCTGGCTTTGGACCTTAGTCCTCCTGGGTAGCGAGGATTACGAGTAAGGGCCATCAACACCCAACTTGGAGGTAGCTCCAAGAAGATAGTGATATATTTTGTACAACAAGATCTTTGTAACACACACCCCAAAAATAACTCAGAGTTGGGGGCCAATGGCTTGCACTTATAATCCGAGCTACTCAGGAGGCTGAGATCAAGGATTGTGGTTCGAGGCCAGGTCAGGCAGAAAAAGCTACGAGACTTTTATCTCCAATGAAGCAGCAAAAAAAGCCAGAAATGGAGGTCAGACCCAAGCAGTACAGTGCCAAGACTGAGCAAAAAAGGCCAAGTCCAAACCTGATACCCCGAGTTCAAGCCTCAGTTCCAGAACTAGTTCAGTCAGGAGAGCAGATATGCAGATATAGCTAGACTGTAAGCTGCATATCAGAGAATGGTGGCAATCAAATCATGTGCGCTCAGTCTCTGCGATTGGAAGATATGCCCCCAGGGCACCAAGCCTGGGTCCAGTTCCCATGAGAGGCATGCCAATGGGGCCTCCCCGCGCCACGGGGCTGTGTCTGGACCGCAGAGCCCCCTGCCCAGGTCAGAGTGCTGGGCACTGACACCACAGTGGCAGCACCTTCCAAGTGCTGAGGGGGCTCAGGAAGCCAGGGCATACTCGGGCACACGGTGCAGGCTCCTGAGCCCGTAGTTCCTGCCAGACAGCGCCCATGGCAGGGCTCGCTCCTGCAACATGTGTTCACACACGTCTCTCTAACACTTTTGTGAATCATCTGATAAAGACTTAATGAATGTGACAGGATGTCTCCAGTGTTAGGCTTAGTAACTGGTCACAAGCCTCACCAGTCTTTCTGATGAACCTAGTCGGCCTGATGTATTTCTGCACTCCCTGTGTAATTAGTGCAAAGTTTGGAGGCCTGAGTCGTGTATCTTTCATCCAGCTTATTGCATCCTCTCCTCTGACATGGGGTCAGGGTTCACATTCGCATCTGATTATCAGAGCAGTGCTCATTAAGCAGGAGCCAGCCTTGTCCCTAAATGAGTAAGCTGGAGAGAGAGCTCACCCCTTTTACTCAGCAGATTTTCACATGTTTGGGGGCCTGAATGTCACCCAGCATTGCTCTGTGCTGAAGAGTTTCAGACATCTCCAGCTGATGATTAATTGTGAGTGATGGGAAATAAAATCTAGTGAAGCCAGCTGCTTGCCATGGTCGGCAAAATGACTCTAATGGATAGAGGCTGCCAATTTTCCAGTTTTGCTGGCAAGTCTTCCAAGTGTAATTAAGGGAAGTTATAAATGATATGGAAATCTATCAAGTTCCATTTATTTTCAGAGGACTTTTTCCCCAGAGACTTTTATCTTGAAGCTTATAGTATGCTTTGTTGTGCTAATGATTTAAGCCACATCTTGTTTCAGATTAAAGCCCCCAATCTCCTTCCACCAAGTCCTCTTCACTCCTTCCACAAAGATTACAAACCACACAAGCGTCTCCACGCACGCCCCTCCCCTCCCGGAGCACATGCTCCGAGAGGGACACAGCTGACAACGCTATCCCTGCAACTGCAAACTGCCACTGACCTACAACTGCTCCAGGAGAGAGGCTGGGGGTGGGGGATCTCCATCAAGCACAAAAGAAAGCCCCCCAAAGTAGAGACTTGAGAGCTGCACTTGGGACGGGATACTCACCAGAAGGTGGGGTAGCCCACTAATGTTATTTGATTTGGAATAAAAGCATGAAAATGATGGCAAGGGCCTAAAATTGGAGATGTAAAGGATGACTGCACAGTATTCCATTTCTCAATTTCATCCTTCAGAGCCACAAAATGGGGGTGATACAGTGACTGGATGAGATTTACAGTAACAGCTGTGGTCTTCCCACACAAGGGAGGCCCTTCTAATGGACTGAGGTCTGTTTGCAACAGACGGGGAGGAACAAAACAAGGTTCCCTATTAAGAGTGTGGAGTCAGACTTCTGATCAAGAAAATCATTATGGGAGTTGGGTTTCCTTTAAGACAGCCCCTGCCCTCTTTTGTCATCCAAACCCAGGGCTGTTTTTAAAGGTGCAGTTGTTTAAATAGAGGCAGGAGGACACAAATGGCGTCAAGTTTGCTCCCCCCTCGGAAGCCCACTCACCAGCAGCGGTAAAGAACGCAGAGGAAACGGTGCCAGTGGCATATGGCTTTCTACTGTGCTAAACATTCATACAAAAGACAGGTTCATCAGTCATTGGAATATCTGGATAAAAAATTAGCTCCTGATGGATGGTATTTTGAGCTTACCTGCTGCTAGTACATTACCAGAGAAACACAGGTTTTGAAACCCACAAGACATTAGAAACTGCAGACCATGAAACACAACACGTGCA